GGGGGGGGGGGGGTGCTGACCTCCAGGTTAGGTCAGGTGCTCTGAGCCCCTCTGGCCCCACAGCCCATGGGCTCCCAGTGCTCCTCACAGTAAGTGAAAGAGTCTGCATCTAGAAGGGTCTGCCAGCTCCCAGATGGGCTCTTCCTGCAGGGAGGAAGAGGCGATGATTCTTCTCCAGGGCTAGACACACAGAGAACACTTACTGAACTCCCTGGAAATAAAACGGAACACAGTGAAGTCAATGAAGGGGAAACGGATTGGTAGAAGGTCAAGTGGTGCTCATGGGTCGAGGTGGTCATCAGAGAAAGCCCGCCATGATGGCTACCCTCTGAGGAAGGCAGCAGATAGCCATTTGTACCTCCTTGCCCAGGACAGAGCAGTCTGAATGGAGGAGACACGGCTCAACAGAACTCCAGGGACGGAGGAGTCCTCCAGCTTTGTCCACGGCCCCATGGCGTCTTATCCAGACATCTCTGAAGATGCTTCCCTCCGCCTCCCCGATTTCCCCGGGGGCAGCAGTGTCTCAAGTCTTAGACAGCAGCTGAGAGATGAGACCCCGTAGACCCTCCTGCTCAGTGCGAGGAGATGGTTTGTCTGCCAGGGGCTCTTCCCCAGGGACAGCTTTATGGCCTTTCAAATTGAAATCCTTGGCTTGAACTTGAGCCCTTCTCTTCAAATAATTTTTTCTTCTTAGCTTGGCTTTTAAAACAAACATAACTCTGCTTCCAGAAAGATGGAGAATACGAATGTTTCCTTATCCTCCCAGTAAGCAAAATGGAAAAACCAATCCCTGGTTTCTCTCTGCCAGGTGGACAGGGGCAGGTAGACCAGCTACAGAATGGAGGAACCATATGGTGGGGAGTTCCCTGGGATTTCTTTTTGCCTCATAGATTCTAGACCTGGAAATGGAGCCAGCAACCTGGAAATACCAACAGTCACTGATCCCACCCCATCCCCCTCCAAAAAAAACCAAAAAACAAAAAAGAAAAATGCTTACAAGGAGGCAGAAAAACTAGATCGCACACACATTGCTTGCTGGTGGGCACATAAACTGATACAGCCTGTCTGGAAAAGGGTTTAGCAGTTTCTTACTCAATACACAGCTACAATACAACCTAACAACTGTACTCCTGGGTTTTTTCTCACCAGTAAAATGAAGACATATAGTCACAAAAAATATATGAAGACATATATTCACACTTTCCTCCACAGGAAAGTTTATAGCAACTTAGTTTGGAATAGCCCCAAACTGGAAACAACCAGATGTGTTTCGATGAATGAACCGTTAAAGACAATGTGGTCTATCTGTAGCATGGAAAGGTATTCAGCAATAAAAAAAGGAAGGAGAGAAACAGTATCAATTAATAGCATCCATGACCTTGATGAGTATTCAGAGGATCCTGCCTGTCCCAAGAGTACACATACCATTCTAGAAATGACCTAACTATAGAAAGAGAGAGCAGATGAGTGGTTGCCAGAAGTTAACGGAAGGGTGGATACGGTAGGGAAGGGGATGTGCCTATAAGAGGGCAACATGACGTGTCCTTGTCTTGGTGGGAATGTTCTCCATGGGATTGTATCAATGTCAATATCCTGGTTGTGTTATTGTATCATAGTTTCACAAGATGTTACCACTGAGGGACCCTGGATGAAGGGATTTCTTTGTATTCCTTCTTACAACTACATATGAATCTATAATTTCAAGATTAAAAAATATAAGTATATTGTTTTAATGTTTATTTATTTTTGAGAGAGAGAGAGAGAGAGAGAGAGAGAGAGAGAGAGTGTGTGTGTGTGTGTGTGTGTGTGTGTGTGCATGAGAGGGGGAGGGGCAGAGAGAGACAGAC